CAAGACTGCCCATATTTATACAAGAAAATGTAATACCTAAAAGCAATAAAAGAATATATAAAATCCTATACATTTTGTCTAAATCCTATTGGCTATGTAAATAACTGTCTAACAAATTTTATTCTCTTCTATGTTATGTGTGTGCCATTCACGTGCTTCATAGAAGGATCAAGAATTGGTTCACTACAGCTGTAACCTTGGGCTGATCTTAGATAACGTGGATGGTCCAGATGCTTTCTCTTTCCTTTATTGTTATCTACAGCTGGATTTGTGCCACGTCTCTTTGTATTCTCTAAAGACAAGAAAAAATTAGACTTAGGTACCCTTGAAGATAACTTCGTCTTCTTCGTTGTGTTGTCTGCCATTGTCAACGAGCTTAGACGCGTGTTATTATTATGAAATCTTTCTATCTTGACATCCCCCCTCAAGATGGAGGGGAGCGGAGTGATACCCAGCTTGCGAAGATAGTGATGATGAGAAGGCCCCGACAATGATTTGGTGAAGATGTCGGCTAACTGATCATGGGATGGAACAAAAGAAAGAGATATGAGGCCGGCGAGGTATTGTTGCCTAACAAAATAGCAATCTAGCTCAACGTGCTTCGTCCTTTCATGAAACACAGGATTGCGCGCAATGTGGATTGCAGCTTGACTATCCGAGTGAACAGGAATGGGCAACTCAGGTGAAATAGACAGATCAGAGAGTAGACGAGTCAACCAAGTTAGTTCTGCAACCAAGCGACGCATCGAGCGATATTCAGCCTCGGCCGAAGAAAGTGAAATGGAAGATTGTTTCTTGGACTTCCATGAAATGGGGGATCCTCCTAGGCTGATAAAGAACCCACTCACAGATCTGCGAGAATCTCGACATGTAGCCCAATCGGCATCACAAAACGCCATTAGAGAAAAAGAAGGAGAAGCAGTCAGAAAAATCCCTTGATTTGGAGTCCCTTTCAGGTAAGTTAGAACTCTTAATGCTGCAGTAAAATGAGAGGTACAAGGCTTTTGCATATATTGACTGAGAGTCAAAACGGCAAAACAGAGATCCGGCCTTGTGTGAGTTAAGTAGTTGAGTTTACCAACAAGATGTCGATATAGGGTAGGATCTGACATATAATCGTCTGAATCTGCAGATAACTTGTGTGAAGGATCCATGGGGGAAGAAATAGAGGGCAAATGACTGACATCAAATTCCTGAAGCAAATCCAAGGTATATTTGCGTTGACTGATGATAATGCCCTGTTGTTCCCTTAATATTTCCATACCAAGAAAGTAATGCAAAGCTCCAAGATCCTTAATTTTGAACTCTGTGTGAAGAAAATCCTTAAGAGCTTGTATTTCTTTGTGATCATCTCCCGTAATAAGAATGTCATCTACATAAACGGCGGCTATAGAAACTAAATCACCGGTCTTTTTAAAGAATAAGGAGTAGTCATTGAGTGAAGCAGTGAACCCCTTGAAGCTTAAAGCACCGACAAGTTTGGCATACCACTGTCTGGATGCCTACTTGAGACCATAAAGGGATTTGCGAAGTTTGCACACCAAATTAGGATTAGAGATAGGCAAACCTGCTGGAAACTTCATATAGACCTCTTCTTGTAGATCGCCATGCAAGAAAGCATTGTTGACGTCAAATTGTGACACTACCCAGTTCTTTTTGACAGCAATAGATAATAAACATCTAATCGTAGTCATTTTAACCACCGGTGAAAACGTTTCATTAAAATCAATGCCCTCCTTTTGGATGTCTCCTCGGATAACCAACCTAGCTTTCAACCTTTCTAATGATCCATCAGTATGTTGTTTGATCTTATAAACCCATTTGCAAGGTAGAGCCTTTCTACCATGAGGAAGGGAAACTACATCCCAAGTGTGATTTGATTGTAAAGCTGCAATTTCAGCATCCATGGCCTGTTTCCATCCAGGGTGAATAGAAGCCTGATAATAAGTGGTTGGTTCTGTGATTTGAGAAATAGAATGAAGAAGAAGCTGATTGGAAGGGGAAAGATCAGTAGAAGAAAGAATATGAGTCTGAATAGGAGCAGAGAAACAGGAGGTAGTGACATCACTAAGAAAGATAGTATTGCAGAAATAATCCTTAAGGTGGGCTGGGAGGATGCCTTTGGTGATTCGGGTAGATCTCCTAGGACTAGGATTGATAATAGTGTTTGGAGGTTGTGATGATGAAGTAGAGGCAGGGTCAGTAATGGGAACAGGAAAATGTGTTGGTAAAGATGTAGAAACCGGTGGATCCAATGAACAATCATCAGAAGAAGAAGCTAAGTGTGGAATAGGAAAAGTATAAGGAGAAATAGGAGCAACACTTGTAACAAAAGGAAAGATTTCCTCATGAAACCGGACATCTCTAGAAACAAACACGTTTCGACTGTCCAAAGAGAGCAATTTGTATCCCTTTTGATTACTAGGATATCCTAAAAATACACAAGCTTGAGCCCTAGGGTCAAATTTCCCCCTCCCATGAGCTAGTGTGCTAGCATAGCACAAACAACCAAAACATCTTAAATTCTGATAAGAAGGTGATGTGCCAAAAATGACAGCATAAGGAGTATTCCCATGAAGGACTCGAGAAGGCAGCCTATTAATCAAATATGTGGCTGTGAGAATACACTCACCCCAATAGGATATAGGCACCTGTGATTGAAATAAAAGAGCCCGTGCAATTTCAAGAAGGTGTCTATGCTTTCTCTCAACTATGCCATTTTGTTGAGGAGTAACAACACAAGAAGTTTGATGAATAATCCCTTGGGAACAAAACAAATGTGTGGCTGCTGCACTTAGTCCCAATTCCAAGGCATTATCTGATCTTATCTTTTTCACTTTTATATTAAATTGTCTTACAACCATTTGTAAGAAAGATTGTAAGACGGAAAATGCATTGCTCTTGGTAGTTAACAAATAAGTCCAAGTTGCCCTACTATAGTCATCAACTATTGTAAGAAAGTACCTATAATTATTGTGAGTAGGTACTCTATAAGGACCCCATGTGTCAATATGAATGAGATCAAAGATGCATTTTGTTGATATCTGACTGAGAGAAAAAGCCAGCCGAGATTGTCTGGCTTTAGGACAAACATCACAAAAACAATCAGAAATAGATAAAGAGGAATTTGAGAGAAAACCGACATTCTTCATTGACGATAAAGGCAAATGCCCCAGTCTAATGTGCCACAATTTTACATTAGAAGTTGCACTTGTACAAACAGGAATAGAACTAGAATTAGAAGGAATTGAAACAGGAACTGAAACTGAATTACTCAAATTAACACTTGATAAATTAGGAACATATTGTCAAAAATTAAGACTAGACTCTGTAGGACTTGGCTGGAACAGATAGAGTCCATCTTTTGCATCACCAAAAACTTGAGGCCTCTTCATGGAAAGGCCCTGCATCATGCAATGAAGAGAAGTGAAAAATAGGACAGATTGAAATTGAGTGCAAAACTTGTGGACTGGCATGAGATTGAATCTGAAACTAGGAACATAAAGAACATTCTGCAAAGCAAGGTCAGAAAATATAGAGACAGTTCATGTATGAGTAACAAAGATGGTTTGACAATTAGGAAGATTAATAGTAAGAGGTACTTTAAGGGGTGTTAATGACATAAAAGAATCATGATTGAAGCACATATGATCAGAGGCACCTGAATCTATGATCCAGGTGTGAGGATTGAGAACTGAAAAACATGAGCCAATATATTTTAGAATAGTACCAGCCACTGCATTTGCATTTATCTCAGATCCTCCATTGGTGTGAGCTGCTTCTTCCACCTTCATTTGATTGAACATTGTTTGAAATGGTTGTATTGGTCCTTGTTGTATGGTTGAGTAGTGAATGCAGAATCTGCATAGTTATTGTTCCTTCCATGATCTACATAGTGAGTGTTCTTTCCCTGATCTGCAAAGTGACTATTCTTTCCCTCGATATCTCCCATGGTCATTGCTCCATTTCCTCTGATTTGTCCATGAAAACTTTTGTCATTTGTGAACTGAAAATCATCGGGAAAGCCAATCAACCTGAAACAATTATCTTCCACATGCCCAGTTTTCCCACAATAAGTGCAAGATACATTAGGGTTATACTGTGCTTTCTTGCCTTTGAACTTCAGATTTTGCCTTTGAAACTTTTGTGGATGCTGAGGGTGATTAATTCTAGGATGTGGATTCCCAGTTCCTTGTGAAGGACCAGCAAGTTTCTGCAACTGCTTTCCTCCTCTAGAGTGATTCATATTTCCCACCATGAAAGAAGAGGAATCAGAAGAGATGAGAGGACTCATGTATGTCTCTCTTTGATTTTCATCCTGTAAAATTAAAGAGTAAGCTAGCTTACTTTGAGGTCAGCATTGGGCTAAAATAACCTAAAGATACTCTTAACATAACATCATGATATTATTTTTGTAGCCTTATTTTTCTTTCTTTGTTAATATATCAGGTCAGGAAATTGCATCAATTATATGGTGAAATCTCAAAAGAGAGAGTGGAAATATATTCTAGGGCAATTACTTCCCAAGACAATCTCATTGCAGTTGAACTTTTGTCCAAAGCCAAGATCCTTTCTCAAACTGGAGCCAAGCTTCTCCAAAGCATCAAACTTTTGAAGGTAAGAAAACTTGTTAATTGGACTTACTTATCTTTTCGCGCTTTTTCTCTATTTGGATAATATGCTGTACTTTGATAATCGTTTGGTATCTGAAACTCACTGGCTCGACTGATTCAAGTTTATGGGAAAACCGCTCCAAGCTCATATGTATACTTCTTTGTGCAGGGAGGGTTAATGTGGGAATGTCACGACCCAATTAAGGATCATGACCGGCGCTAAGGGAGAGAATCCCAAAGCAAGCCTCACCAGAATTCTACAGAAAATCGGGCAGAGTTTCCTTTGTTTTTAGGCCTATCCTGGATTTTTCCTGTCTCAGAATTTCACAACACAACTAATAGCAACTATAAACCACCATTTAATATCCATCAATGATCAAATTGTTGCGCAATAAAACCAATTCATCTCCAAATTACGAAAAAAAAAGTTCCAAACTAGTCACTTGACTACAATTCGAAGGACTAATCTTGACTCAAATCAAAAGAATGACAAATGGAGCTACTCTAAGAGTTTTTAAAAGAAACTAAATAAACATAACAAATCAATAGTTCTCTTGCCACGCGAAACAATGCGGGGCTCACCAGATGCTACCAACTCACACGCTAGTTAATGAAATCCTCTTCAATACCACTTGAATTCTCTGTAAAAAAAACAAATAGCGAGGAGTGAGACGCTAGCTCAGTGAGTAATTAATACTTAACCCCAACCATTTTAATGAGGGACAAGTCAGAAAGCATGCTAGTGTAATAGTCATGATGATGAAACAATGCTCTTTCAGAAACAATAACAATATTCAACCTTAGGTGCCTCATATAAGCAAAATCAATGTAAATACATAATAGCAAACTCAGAAAAAGAACATTTTCATATCAAATCTTATAGCTGGGAGGTTTCCAAGGATGAACCATGTAATCACTGTGGTCTTCTCTTTAAGAAGTAACCAATAACAGTGAACTCCTTATAAAAGAGTTATTATTCATATCAGTAGATCCCTACTCGAGGGATATCAATAACAGTATACTAGTTCTAACTTCCCACTAGCAAGGGCTTTATCAGAAATCAGAGCTACAAGGTGCACCAGGTCTAACGAACCCGCCGTTAGCTACGGGATTCATCAAGGTCTACTCCCATTTATACTTTTCTTATAATCTGTAGAAGCATTTCAAAATCAGATAGAACATTTATATCTTACCAAATCAGAACATTTCAAAGTTTAACAATCACCTGTCAAAATACTATTTCTCAAATAAGTGTAAAACCTTTTCAATATCAGTAATCATATCTTATACGAATGATATCATCTCAAATAATCTTTTCAGTATCATATCCAGTAAAAGACTTGTCCCACATGCAAGTTTAAAACATTCGGTAACACATTTGCTTTATAAATCATGTGAAAGTCATGCAAGTTATAAAACATCAATTGTGGTAAGATTACTACTCACTGTACTTGTGTTGAGTTACCAAGCTTGCCACTCAATCACTCCGTACGAATTCCTTTGGTCAATCTATAATCACATTCATAATAATTTCGTGTTAACTCCTTCATTTAGGTAATTCATACTACATTTAAAAATAAAATAAAAACCCAGCCCTAGAGGTTTCATGACTGATTCGAAATCTGCCCAATCACTTAATTAGTGCTTTAATCACACACATTAGTCTCTTCTTGGTCAATTCTCGCTGTAAAAAGATCAACCTAACCTTACTGCCTAATTACTCTTATTGCATATAAGCCCAATACCAACGTTTATAGTTCAAATCATTGACTATATTCACTTGGTTCATAAGAATGAAATAAATTTCCTCTTTTTCTTCTAAACCCATGTTTCTCAACTTCCCAATTCCCAATCTTATAGTCATGGAAGATACAAATTCAACCTTTAGACTAAGTTAAGAAACTTACCTTCTTCTCGTTCTTCTTCTTCTTCCACCTCTCTCTTTAGTTTGAGAGCTAAGGCTTTCAATTTAAATTTATGTTTCTCCTTCGTTCGTTCGCTCACTATAGAACAAGAAGAGTCCCTTTTTTCTTCTTCTTCTTTTGATCCCTGAAGTTGCAGCGTTGCTGCTGCTTCTGTTAGGGCTTTCAGTCCCTTTTTTTTTTTTTAAATGAGAGCTAAATGACAATTATGCCCTTATTTTAATATAGGGTATTACAGGGAAACACCTTGGATTCAATTTTTCAAATCATGTTCAGAAATTCCAGGAGACAATGAGATCCAAAACATGGAATTAACCATAAGAGGAATGGAAATCGCGTTAACATCATGTCCTTCCTTTTCCACTGGCCTAGTGAATGAAGAGTTAAAGTGCGCGTTACTACATGTATCTGAGCAAATCCATCGAAAATCAGATCAAGTCACTCATCAAGAAACAAAAGGATCAGACTTTGCCAATAAATCCATCTTGCTCCATAATAACACCATATCTCCATCACAAACAAACCTACCTGCATTTTTCTTCTTATTTTGTTCAAATATGCTGCTCACCAATTCATCCACATTACATAAGGATGATTCACGAACACCTTGCCATAAGAGCAGGATGAAAATTAGACCAAGAAAAGAAACGATTATGTTTTCGTTGAAGTGCTCTATTTCATTAGGCCTAGCTATGTGGCTAGGCATGTTATTCGACAAACAAAACGGTTTTTGGGCAGGGCTAACAGTAGCCAGTACTTTAGCACAAGGCAAATTAGCAACATTTACTCTTGCTAATGCTCAGGCACAAGGAATTACATTTGGATCAGTCTATGGAGTCTTAGTTTGTTCTGTTTTCCAAAAAATCGATAACTTAAGATTCTTACCTCTTCTCCCTTGGATCATTTTCAGCAGTTTTCTAAAACATAGCCGGATTTATGGTCCAACAGGAGGAATTTCTGCGCTATTAGGAGCCGTGATGATCTTAGGACGAAAAAACTATGACCCTCACAACGAATTCGCCATCATAAGACTAACAGAAACTTTCATTGGACTGTCTTGTTTCATCCTGGTAGAGTTTATACTGTACCCGAAACGAGCAGCCAATCTTGCTAGGAATCAACTGCATTGCACTTTAGATATTCTCAAAGAGTGCATGAACCAAATAGTACAAAAAGATCATCAAGAATTGCAAGAGTTAATGAAAAAACAGAGGAAATTAAAATCCAAAATCCAAGACTTGAAAAAATTCTGTTTTAATGCAGAATTAGAGCCTGGTTTTTGGTTCCTTCCTTTTAATGCAACATGCTACAAGAAGCTCCAAGATTCATTGTCGAAAATCGATGATTTATTTTACTTCATCATCTACAATATCAACAACATATCACATGATTTTCAAAACAGTGGTGTTGATTACAAAGAGCTACAAAAATGTATGAATGATGAATTGAAGAAATTGAAGGAAAGTGTGATTTCGTCGATAAGTACATTTCTTGATAAGCCTAGTTTGATCAAGTTGTTCCCAGATGATGATCTTGAAGAGGGGAAATTTAGTAAAATAAATGATCAAATAACAGATAGAGGAATAAGTTGTTGCTTTGAGAGATCAAAAGAAGTGATTGATAGAATATTGAGTAGACAAGAAAAAGAGGAACTAAAAGAAAAGTCAATTATTTCATTGTATGCTTTGGGATATTGTATAAACAACATGTTGAAAGAGATCAAAGATATTAAAATGGCTATGAAGGAATTGGCACAGTGGGAAAGGTAATAATAGCACGGGCTAGCCACTTTCGAGCATCTATATGGTCACAAAGTTTAACTTGGTGACTATTTTTCAATTACAAACGCTGAAAATTTCACATGAAAGTTCTTGAAGAGTTGGAAATTTCTTAAAGTCTTCAAATCATAGAAGCAAATATTTGATAGAATTTTATGTAATAGGGTATAGGTATTATTCCCAAGCAGAATTTTTGGACAATTTAGTTAGTTAAAGTTAAAGAAAACATATAATAAGATTTATTAGATTGTGCAGTCAACTTTTCATGTAGCAGCCTAGCCAAATAATCAAAGCCAAATGGGCAAATAACATACCATTGAATATTGATTCTTCATGTAGCAACACGAGAAAACAAAGAATTCCTAACACATGTCTTACTTTTTACTTCATTCATTTTAATTTGTTTGTGCCACGTCTCTCTGTTTAATCTAAAAGACTATCTCATTACTTTTTTAATAATTTTTTTTCTTTCAATTTTATAAATGACATGTTTAAGACTACTAAACATTTTGATACATTTAGGGGTGGGTCATTTAACTTTCCAAAAACGTATTTTCGTTTCATATTAGTTGTTCACTTTTCTGTTTACACGCTTCTTAAATGAGAATGACATTTTTTACTAATTTATCTTTTAAAAAACTTTTTTTTGAAACTTTACAAATCTATTTATACTTTTTTAAAAGATTAATTATAAGAGTGAAGTGACAAAATTTAATTAATTTTATAAATTCACAAGCAATTGAAATAAATATTTTTAATAATCTCTGGAGGTGCTTGGAGGCTAAAGGTGTCCCGATGATTTATATTAGGGCAATAAAGGACATGTACGGTGGAGCCAAGACTCGGGTTAGAACGGTTGGAGGAGACTCGGAACATTTCCCAGTTGAGATGGGGTTGCACCAGGGATCAGTCCTTAGCCCTTTTCTATTTGCTTTGGTGATGGATGAGTTGACGCGGTCCATTCAGGAGAATGTCCCATGGTGTATGTTATTTGCGGATGACATAGTACTGATTGATGAGACGCGGGACAGAGTTAATGCGAGGTTGGAGGTGTGGAGACAAACGCTGGAGTCCAAAGGGTTCAGGTTGAGTAGGACCAAAACAGAATATTTGGGGTGCAAATTCAGTGATGCATTGGATGAGGCAGATGTGGATGTGAGACTTGCCACACAGATCATTCCTAAGAAAGAAAGTTTTAAGTATCTTGGGTCTGTAATCCAAGAAAGTGGTGACATCGACGATGATGTCACACATCGCATTGGGGCTGCTTGGATGAAATGGAGGCTTGCCTCTGGAGTCTTGTGTGATAAGAAAATCCCGCCTAAACTTAAAGGTAAGTTCTACAGAGTGGTAGTTAGACCGTCCTTGTTGTATGGAGCGGAGTGTTGGCCAGTCAAGAACTCACATGTTCAGAAAATGCATGTTGCGGAGATGAGGATGTTGAGATGGATGTGTGGGCACACTAGGAGCGATAAGATTAGGAATGAGGTTATCCGGGAGAAGGTGGGAGTGGCCTCTGTGGTGGACAAGCTGAGGGAAGCGAGACTGAGATGGTTTGGACATGTGAAGAGACGGGGCGCAGACGCCCCAGTGAGGAGGTGCGAGGGGCTGGTAGTAGAGGGTACGCGGAGGGGTAGAGGTAGGCCCAAGAAGTATTGGGGAGAGGTGATTAGACAGGACTTGGCCCAGCTACACATTACCGAGGACATGACTCTAGATAGGAAGGAGTGGAGGTCACGTATTAAGGTTGAAGGCTAGTAGGGTTAGCGTGCTGTCTTTCCTGGCGAGGGTATGGGTTGTTAGCGTTTGTAGTAGTCTTAGCCTTACACTTGTAGTTCTTGTCTGTGATTCCTATAGCCTTATGTTGTTTACTGCGTTTCACTTCTCGCATTATTTTCTTGATGTATTGCCCCCTTTGTTGATTATGCACTATTTTTCTTATTGGATGTTATGCTTTATATAATTCTCTTCCTTTACTTGGCTTTGTTACACTTGAGCTGAGGGTCTTCCGGAAACAGCCTCTCTACCTCCACGAGGTAGTGGTAAGGTCTGCGTACACTTTACCCTCCCCAGACCCCACCTAGTGGGATTTCACTGGGTATGTTGTTGTTGTTGTTGTTGTTG